GCCTGGGACAGCAACAGGGAGTTCTGTACACAATAAAACACTCCTTCTGGTGACTTGTGCTTTTTAACATCCAACCTAGGATTTGGCCTGATGATTGTAATGATCCGAGTATAACCACGACTTAGACCGCTGCAGAGCTCAATCTCGGGGATTAATCCTGGGTGATCCAGACTTAGGATAGGGTATGATTGGCTGATGACGGCTAACAAACCAAAAACTGCCATTCGGTATCCCAAGTCTTTATCGGTTCCATTGCATCATATAATACAAGTCGCCATGAGGCTGCCTGCAAGGGCTCTAGATTGAGCTCCAAGCCGCAAGGGAGGGAGCATTTTCTCTGACCAGATCAGTGAGCGTCTTACCATTCCTCATATTCCCGATCGCAACCGCCAATTAAATAACTGACCCATAGCTTCATTGTAGTGTTACACTCAATGGCCGAAGGGTCGCGGGTACGAATCTGGGGCGATCCCCACTTGGGATTGGATGCGACTGGCTGAGGACGGCTAACAAGCCAGAAATGGCCACTCGGGTGTCCCTTGTCTTTCTCGGTTCCACTGTACCGGTTATAGTAGCTCTTATTTCTCATATAGGAAAAAAGCGGTGTGATACACGACTACTATTACAGCACCTGTCGATGTATAAAAACAGTGATTTGTTTTCAACCAAGAAGTGATTGCTAGGAAATTCACGAATACTAGGTAAATTCTAATGGAATTCTCATCGAAACAGGGTCAGGCCGACATCACTGCAGAAACTATTGGTTATGCACAACAGGGCTGTCTATATTGTCTCACAGAAGCTACAGAACGGAACCCCGAAAAACACAATGAGACAATGACATTCTAAGATACTACAAGCAGCAAAAAGATGGTTAGATTGATGACATTGTTATTAGCGGTGTTGTTAAAATTGAGCATAGAATCCGATTGGTTTGCTTCTGGACAAAAGTTGCGTTGAATAACCCCGCATCCGGCACCCTGGCAGCCTTGTTTGTTTCTACTCCCAATCTACCTCGACGAAACACGAACACATCGCAAGGCAACAGCTGCCTGCCCCTGACGTCCAAACTAAATAATTAAGCATCTAACCGCTTGTCTGGCATGCCTAAACAACTCTTCATTGTCCTTTTCCCCAGCCCACCGCAAATTGGTTGTTCTTGACATTTATTCGCCTTTTCCTACCCTACACTATTGCTGTACAACAGGCCCGATGAGGAATAAACCAAGAGATAAGTTTGCCGACTAAGAATTCTGATTAGTAGGTGACGTACGCCAAGGGATGTGTTAGGGGCAGTGCGTCCCAAGAGGTTCGGCTCCAAGGCCAGAAGGCCAATGAGGTACCGGCCCGCTTCGCTCATTGAGAAGTCATCCACGAAGGCGGATGTCCAGGCGGAGAGCAGGCGCAGCAGGCAACCCGAGAGGATATTAAAAACGTCCGATACCTCGTTTTTCTGTAAAAAGAAAACAAAAATAGAAGGACGAGGTAATGGCTGAGAAAAAAAACTGTCCAACAGTCAATATCTTTCAGGAATGGGTAAATTTATACAGAGAATAAGTTGCGCAAAAAAATAAAAGCGCACTTTCCACAGCTAAAAGCTATGGTAGTGTGTTCTACCATAGGCTGACGCGGAATCACTGACTGCCATTTTAGGAAGATCGTCAAATGCGAGGTCTAGGGCGGGGGGGATGTGAGCTTAGAGGGCTATGAGAACAAAGCAGAAAGGTTGCTGTGACAACGCAAGTGAGCTGAGTTCTGTGCTGATTTACTCATACGGTGGTTGAAACAGGAAACG